CAATTGCTTGCAAAGTGTCAGAGGTGAAGATAAAGAATTTAATTTTAGAATTACATTTTTATACTCAGACAGCTTGAAGATACCTTGCCATTTTTACTTGTGCTCGTAAACCTGGGTTTTGGATGACTCCTTGACCTTTTGGAATCAGTACGACAGTTAAGATAAGCTGATGAATAAATGGTTATCCTGTTTGCAGGAATTAGGGTATTGGTTTATAACTGTGCATCACGGTGGCATTGTCTATAGAGGGCCTGAGCTTCCTCCGTAGTACATGGAGAGAGTTGAGAATTCGTAAGAGCCAATATGATCATTGGGGAATTTCTGTTTTAGCCACAAGGATATGGTTAAGCAAGGCAGAGTGGTGTAAGATTTAGCCCCTTTGACCTAAGACTAGAGAGAAGCAGACTCAGTGCTGATGTGTTAATAGCTTTCAGGATATGAGAGAAACAGTTTAGAGGCTTTGAAGATGTTTAACCTACTTAGCTCACCTACGAAAAGGATAATCTGATTGCCAGCTTCAAGAGGATTGTAAGCAACCTCTAGCAGTCTCCTGCAAAACTTGCTTCAGAGCCATCATTCCTGCTCAGAGCAATCTAACTCACCAAGTGTGTGACTTAGCATTTCATTGTGGCTCAAAACTGAACCAAACTGATTGTCCCTATGCACTGTGCTTCGGTTCATTTGATAGAGCTGTCTCAGAGCATGGGAGTCCTTTGGGGAATAAGACAGGAAGGTGTGCTCCAACCATGATATTCAATACGTGTGTTCAGACTAAATCTATTCCAAAGTTAACCCCTGAAATGTGCATTGAGGCTGAGCATTTGACAGCTACACAACATTTGCTTTATGAAAGGGCTTCATTTGGACGAGTCTGCTTGCACACAGGCATGAGCATGTGCAAAGCCAGCAGCACCTTCCTCTCTGCTGTCTCTTGGACAGCTTGTACTAAATAAATGCTCCTAAAAGGCACTCTAATTTGCCTTTGACATTACCAAGAGATTGAGATCTTCGAGATCTTGGAAAAGCTAAAAAACAAAGGATGGTTTATTCTGGCAGGAAACTCCCTGTTGAGAGAGGTATTCCTCAGTTCTGCTGTGTTACTTGGCAAAGCACCATTCTTTAACTGGATTAGACAACAAACCATTGTTTCCCCCTCCCCCATCTTCCTTATGGGCAGATTTAAACCTCATGTATAACCTGTGACAGAAAAGAGATCAATTCACTTTATCCCTATTCCATCTTTCCAGTTATAGCAGAGTTCTCTAACATTAAAGACCTGTTGTAGTTGACCTCTAAATAGAAAGCAAAGCAATATGGACAAGGTCAGGTGAAAAATCAAGATATTGAAGGTAACTGAAACATAGCTCTAAAGTACAGATACAATGAGCATTATGCATTAAATAAAACACTTCCTGAGTTTCATGCTAGCAGTAGATGAAGTGACAGTCTCTATCTTCCAAAGGATGTAATCAGACACACCTTATATTGCTAAATTAGACAGTGCAGCCACAGTTACAGAAAAGCAAATGATAAAACTGAGACGTGATGTAAACAGCTGAAGCTCATGATAATGGGTTAGCTAGTTACAACAGTGATGTAAATATTATATTAGCAAACAGGTCAGAAAATAGGTGTAATTTTCCTCACCTTAATCTCCAAAGCCTGTTTATTACAGACAAATAAGAAAGCACTTCTGAGAAAATAGAATAGAATAAAACAATCAAATAGCATAGGACATAGATTGCTACATTTAATCATTCATAACTATAATAAATATCAAGGGAAAAAAGAAATCTTTTTAAAGGTAGGAAAAGTTCTAGCTTTTTTTTTTTTTAGAGAAACTGAAAGACTAGCATAATATGAACAAAATGAGAAATGTCTCTGAAAGAAGAGTTGACAAACTAAAAACTTAATTATGTGCTTATCCTGCACTTTCAGAAAGGGTCCTTATCTCACTAGACATGAAGTAAGAACTGCCCATAGATCTGAACTCCTGACTGCTCATTACTTAAAATCAGCTAGGATAAATAAGTTGTTGTTAAATCAAGAATTGAAGCAATGTATATATGATTCCTATTGAAATACAGCCTTTTTGTCTACACAGTTACACTTCTCCAATTGTAAGTAATTTTTCAAAGGTATGACTCTCTTAAGCAAATAAAAAAGCACCTTACAAGATTTACAGATCTTAAAGAGTATGCAGCATCAAGGCTCGTAAGGTGGAAAACTGAATTTTATCTACTAAGAGCCTGCAGAACAGAACTTTTATTTGAATCAGCCTCTCAAATTTATTTACTCTTTACTATTCCTTGTTTGAAATAATACAGAATCTTCCATTTGATTTTTAAACCACATTTTCAAAGTTTTGTGTGTTTGTGGATCTGCAAATGAATCTTGAATTTTGTAGTCCAGCAAAAAGCTTTATTTGCAAATTTTTACATACTTTGGACAACTAATGCTTAGGAAAGCTATCTTAGCTAGGCACCTTGATTGCAATTAGTAAAATATTAACTACTGTATTATTAGAACAGTGTTCTAGAAGAGAAGGGTTTGGGTATTTGCTGTAGAGACATTTTCAGGAATGGCTTCAGTTTTGCCACTCTTCCTGTCTAAGTGTGTGTGTCACCATCAGGAGACAGTCTATGCTGCAACACCACCCACAGCCAAATGATTCTGTCTCTTATCCTCCCCCCTGCTAAAGTGAGATGGTACAGTTTGATTTATTGCCAAACATACTGAGAAGTTTGAATAACTTAAGATACCTCCGGGAATAAATTTAGCTGGGGGAAAAAAAAACCTGGATCCATCTCCCACCGGCCCATTATAACCCTTTAGAGAAGGTTAAACACAGAGACTGGCAATACCTCACACCCTTTTTGTTTTATTTTTGGCTAACAGAAGATCTCTAACCAGTCACCCATTTGAAAAATAGCTGTGTTTTTGCTGCTCACATCCTCATTAGAGCAGTCATCCATGACTTTGTTACAATGCAACATATTTTACTCATGACTCTCCTCTGAGGCTATCCTGAGGCCTGAAGCTAAAGCTCCTGATGGTGGCTGGCATTCACATTCCAGCTTAGCCCTTCTTAGTATGTCTGCTTTCTGTGTGCTCAAACACTGCACTGAAACGGCTTGACTTATTATATTAAAAAAAAAAAAATTCAAACAATGCTTTTTAACATTGCACCTTCCAACACAGAGGAATGGTTGCTCCTCACCTGTCGTGGGCCGGGTCAGACACACCCCGGGAGGGACTCGCCCCCCCTGCTGGCCCGTGGCAGCGAAATTCCCCTTGGGCCCAGTGAGATAATCCATGGCGAGGCGGTACGGAGGAGTGGCTGCTTACGGGGAGTTAATTTTTGCCTCGGATTACAACAGAGATATTGAAATCAATCCAAGATATTATCTGTTGTAAAAAACCTACAGGTGTTTCACTGCCTTCCAACAATTCCAACAAAATTTTAACATGCAAGAAAATTTAATTTTAAAAATGTCAAATAGTTTCCCAAGGAAACTAAAAGGTCATCGGTAACCTCAGGCTCATACCACAAAAGTTATAGTTTAACCTGCATTGTAGCTGTTGTCAAATACTCTGCTCCCCCTCCACCACGGTCAATGTCCCAGCGATAGCAGAAATCACGTCTCTGCCAGGGCATGAATGGTATGCAAAAAGCAACTGAACCTCAATGGTTGTTAGACTGACAAGTCACAAACACAGCTCTGTAACATCCCATTTGTGTAGCTGGAAGATACTGATACACTGTTTAGCTCAAGTCTAAGGGTAACCAAGTTATAATATACAGATGTTTAAGAAAGAAGAAGCAAAAAAGTAAGAAAAAAACCACCCCAGCCTCTTCATTCATACACAGGTAAGTGTCGTCTGCTATAGGATATTTTGTCTTGCATGGATTAAAAAAACTATGCAGACTGATGTAGTTTCTGCTAAAGTAAAAGTCATCCTATTTTCATGGCTCAAACCCATAATTTGACTGGTAACTGCTGGAAATTACAATGTAAAATTTCATTAGCATTTAAAAAGGAAAAGCTGTTGCTGTTTCAGTGATGCAGTGGGTCAGGGTTTTCAAAAGCATGGTATGCACATGAGAGAAAAAATAAAATACCAAAAAAAACATAACTGGCATGCAATAATCAATTTTTTATGACAGACATACTAAGAATCCATCACTGCCAACCAAAAAGCAGAAATAAAATCTAATACTGGCAATACCTTTAGCAAGAGTCCTCTTCCATATGCTGGCAAGCTACAAGAATGTAACATAGATCTTCCTGTTCTGGCCAGAGAAATGCTCACTTACCTCTGGGCATCCTAAGCAAAAGAGCTGTGTCAAGTGGTGGCAGCAAATTGACTTTTAGAATGTATTACACTAGACTATATTTAATTTACACATGATTACTTTGACTAAACAGCAGCATTTTGGCTAAGCCACCTTTGGAAGGGAATTGTTCATGCTCTAATTTAGTTCAGTTTAATTTTGCAGATTTCTCTTCCCATAAAGTCCTAATATGGTTTAAGTATCTCAGTTTATTAATTCAGGTCAATACTCCCAAGTATGATTTCACCAAAGGGGTTTTCCTTTTCACACTCTTTGTTTTATATAAAGCTCCATCTTGGTGAAATTTTATAGACTGTATAAATTCTTTGTTGTGGAGTATTTCCTTGGGTAGCAGCTATAGCATAAATTCATGTCTGATCACAACTGACTCTTTTTATAGATGTTTAAAGAAAAAAAAATGGAAATTTGATGGTTTAATTATTCAAGGAGATTTTTTCCTTCCCATGACACATGCAGAGCTGAAATAACCATATATTCCATAACCATTGTTTGAAGAAAGAGAGTAATGCCACCATCCATATGTTTATTATGTAATTCTGCGCCTGGGAAAGATCATGAACTTTATTCAAATTGAAACAGCAAAATCAATAGTGTTTTGAAGGGAGTACATTCCTTGAATTATCTCCACACATAAATAACTTACATCAGAAGTTCCAGCGAACTGTAATCCTCATGTCAGAAAGTGCTGCATGATAAGGACTTCAGATGCTGCAGATTAAAGAATACACTGGAAAAACTTAGTTGTCTTCCACTCATCTGGAACTATCATTCACACCCATGTAATCCTCTTGATCAGTAAGCACATAATAAATATGGGTTCCAAAACAATTTACTTTATAATACTTGAATTATAAAAAGTCAGACTGGTTTTGTCTCCTCTCCAAAAGTTTGTTTAGAGTTAAAAAGAAGTCCCTTTGCTTGCTTTGTTTAATAAATTTATTCTAGATTTTATAGGAATGTAACTTTCAAAGTCAGGAACTTGTTCAATAACCTCCTAACTCTAACCCAAAATTTATTTTGTCTTCTAACAATTTGAAAGGCAGCATACTTATATAGACATTTTAGTAATTTAACTTTACCTGATGTGACTTTCAAGCTCACATTTGCAGTCCATATTACATCTGAAGTATTCCCAAAAATAGTCAGGAATTCCCAACAGGCCATTCTCTCCAGGTGAACAGTATGCAACAAATCCTAACAGCAGGCTTGGAAAAATCAGCAGCATGATTTATGTAATACCTATAAATCAAAAGGATTAACAGCTAAGATTAGTATTTTCATTGTATTACTACCAGCCAAAAGGTTTTACCTCAGCAGTGGTTTGTTCTGTATGAGAATGATCATAGTGCTTGCTTTCTTAGGGGGCTTTGTGTTCAAACAATTGTAATTTGGATAAGCTTTCTTATCATTTTTATGGTCTATTTCATGGTTTATGATCCATGGGTGTAACTGTTGTTCTATGCATGATCTTTTTTTCTGTTTCTCTCATGTCCCTTTAGATCCTGCAGTAAGCAAAAGTCCAATTTCACCATGACTCTTAGGGATCCGTTAAATGCCATACTATACACTTAAACACTGACTATTTAATATCTGACTTCTGTGATTGAATTGTCGCACTTAGTCTCAAGAATAACAGAGCTGAGATCAGCAGGAGGCAATTCACTCTTTGGAGATGGGGAAATCCTCAACGCAAAGCTTCAACAATTTAGACACAGCCTCTCTAAGGTAATTCGACTGGAACAATGTTTAATACATTAATTTATTAATAATTAATGTTTTAGGCCTCACCAGGTCAAGGAACTTTCCATCAGCAGAACTTCACCTGATAAACTACTAATTGGATGCATTCCTTCCTGTCTTGATTAGTAGCAGTTAAATCCTCATACTATAATGGTTAGAACTTCTAAAGATTTCTTTATGCAGTCCTCCCATAAGGGTCACATCAGTTACCACAGTATTTGTGGGGGCATCTGTGCAAGACTGGTCAACTGCAATACTGATATTGCCATCACTAATGTTGCTGAAAAAAACGGAAACAGAATTAGAAAATCCTTAGTTGTAAAGGACCCACAATGACTGAGTCCAGCTCCTAGTACTACACAGGACAGTCCCACAAATCTCACCATGTGCCTGAAAGCTGTGTCCAAAGATTCCTTGAGCTCTGTCAAGCTTAGTGTTGTGATCACTTCCTTGGGGAGCCTCTTCAGTGCCCAACCACCCTCTGGGGAAGAATCTTTTCCTTATATCCAACCCAGATGTCTCCTGACACAACTTCAGCCATTCCCAAGTCCCATCACTAGTCACCGGAGCAGAGATCAGTGTCTGCCCCTCTACTGGCCCTCATGAGGAAGTTCCAAGACCACAGTGTCTGACTTCAATCTCCTCCAGGCTGAGCAACCCAAGTGACCTCATACCACAAAAGGCATGAGGTACAATGAAGTAGTAACACAAAAGGTACTCCACGAACGGCTTCCCCTCCAGACCCTTCACCATGTTCATTATACTACCAGAACGCAATTATGTCCAGTCCGACGGGGAAAACCCAATTCCTCTCATTTAAGAGAACTGAAAAGAGCTCCAATCCGGCCGTTCCGTGGGCAGGGCGTGTGTTCCACCTGCCCGGCCCAGGGAAGGCGTCCCCGCCTGACCTGCCGCTAGTCAGACTGACCGCCGCCATCGCTTAAAGGAACGACGGCACAGCGCCCCTTGGGCCTCGTGCGCACTCAGGGGCTTTTATCAGGTAAAGGCATTTTTATTGTGCGCGTTCCGACACCACAAATCCCAGGTGACACCAAGCTATGGAGCTCACACCCGCTCCCCTCGGCGAAGCGCGACCCCACCACCTCACCACCCTCAGGGCAGCGGGAAGCGCGCACGACTCCAGGCGCACGCGCAGCGCCCCCGCGGCCAGGAGTGACGTCACTGGGCGGAAGA